AATGATTAAACCAAAGTATCCCCTGCACACCATACAGCAATGGAGACCGTTGATGGTGATAGTGCTCGTAGTGACGACTACGGATGGTGCTGTGCAAATCCAACGTTTGAACAAGGAAGATCACCAGCACACGAAAGATTAAATAAATCCAAATGTTCTTTTCTTCAAAGAAGCAAGTGTTTAAAGAGCCAATGTTTCGGAACCACTATGTTTGCTCTGATGAAGAGGCCCTGCAGGTTGCGAAACGTTGGCTCCTTAAACACTTGTGATTTGCTTCTTTGAAGAAAAGAACATTTGTTCATCCTTCGTGTGCTGGTGATCTTCATTGTGCAAACTGTTATAATGAAACACATATGGGGATGGGAAATGCGGATTAATTTCTATTTTTGCATATTTAATATTTTTCCATAATAACGTATAGTTTTCTAAACCACACATGGCTCCTTAGTAACCTTCTTTTGGCTTTGCTTGTTTAGCTAGTTTTGGTTGCTTGTGGTATGCTGTGAGCTCTCCCTAATGCACTGATTGTGTGTGGCTGATTTGGATACGAATCTGAACGCATGGGCAACTATGTTTACAATTAGGGATGCATTGATACCGATACTAGTATCAGTATCGGTGCCGATACCGAGTATTTGGGTGAGTACTCGTACTTGCCCAAATGCTCCGATACTTAGCACGAGTACTTCCTGTATCAGGAAGATGGGCAGCGCATCATTACACGCTGCCCGGTTTCCTGATTGGCCAGGAAACGGCTCCATGCTCTCTCGTCACTTGTGATGAGAGAGCATGGAGCTGACTTCCCGGCCAATCAGGAAGTTGGGTAGCGTGCAATAAGGCGCTGCCCGGCTTCCCGATTGGTCAGGAAGCTAGCAAATCCGGAAGCCGGGCGCCGTGTAATGACGCAGCGCCCGGCATTCTGATTGGCCGGGAAGCCGGCGTCATGCTCCCTCGTCATCTCATGAATCATAATATTAAGAAAGTGACCTTAAAGCATTAGTTTGTATTGCTTTAGAAAAAATGTGACCTGTCCCTTTAAGAAAAAGTATCGGTAATTGGTATCTGTGAGTACATGATCAAAAGTATCGGTACTCGTACTCGTACTCTTAAAAAAGTGGTATCGGTGCATCCCTAGTTACAATATTAGCAAGGGCCTGTTGGTAGTAAAGAATCCGTATAACAATAGATCCCGTCCTGTAAACAAGTCCATTTGGGCAGGTTGCCCACATTTCTTGTATTTGCATGCATGGATGTTCATCCCACTCCGTATATTCGTTTATCTTTAAAATTGCATTCTTCGCTGAGCTGAATCTTGGCAAAAAAAACCACTCTAAACCTTTTTATTTGTCACATTAAAAGTGTGAGAAACAATATTAAAGGTGTCAACACAATTAAACTAACACAAAACAGTAAAAAGCTTAACGCTCTTGGAAGCTGTTTTGGACAACCTAAGCAAATTCTTTGTCTAGATTTATCAAAAAGGTTCAGATTGTGCCAACCATTAACCTATGTACTGTATGTGTTATGTATCCAAATACATTTTTTAGATTGGGTTTATTTAACATAACGAAACGTCAGCACACTTTTTTTTTACACATTTAATGTGAAATATTTTCAAGGTGCAAAGACAGTTAAGCCTGCAGCATGAGCGTGTTGACTTTTTAATCTGGGTTTGGCGGAAAAAATACTAAAAAAAACCCCATAAAGAATACTAAGGCCCCTTTCACACAGCCTGATCAGGAGGGGATCCGTGCACAGATCAGAGCGGTATGGATCAGATGTCACCCATGTGACATCCATGCCCGTCCAGTTTTCTCCTCCATCTTGCGATGGAGGGAAGAACTAAAGCTGCCGGACCCAATGTAAGTCTATGGGGAGTCGGATGTAAGCAGGCATGTGTCCATTTACATCAGATTGCCCCCGATCCGGCACAATCAGGTCCAGCAAAACGGGACTCTGTTCTATTTGCTCTTCTGGGCCAGGCCGGAGTCACGGGTACCCGGGTGTAAACAGATGGGCCAGTCTCCTGAGAAAAAGCTGCCCATTGGTTAGCATCAGGAATCCGATTGGGTCCACCTGGAAAACTCACTACAAGGGTTATTCACAAAAGGGTGAGAAGGCAGGAGCAGTGAACAATCTAGGACAACATTCTCCAATTCGGCTCACTTTCCAGTTCACCCATGGCAGCAGAACAGAACTTAACCCAGATCAAGTGTGTGCCTTATTGGACCTTTGCCTGAGTACCACATATTTCATGTACATGGGCAAGTTCTACAGGCAGAAACATGGCTGCGCCATGGGATCGCCAGTTTCACCTACTGCGGCAAACCTGTACATGGAGGAAGTAGAAAGCAAGGCCCTGACCACCTTCAAGGGAATTGCACCCAATCATTGGTTCAGATATGTGGACGACACTTGGGTTAAGATTCACAAACAAGAGTTACAGGCTTTCACTGACCATATCAACTCAGTGGATCTTAACATCAAGTTTACGCAGGAAGATATGCAAAACAACAAACTGGCTTTCTTGGACTGTTTAGTAACAGTAGAAGAGGGAAGGAGGCTGGAAATAGAGGTCTACCGAAAACCAACAGTAGAACAGTAGAAAGGCATCATGGCACACTCACAAACCAGCATGTAAAACAACTTGTCTCACCACTAAGGACAATGACAGAGGTTTGGATACACTTCTTCTGCAAAGGATGTGTAAGCCGCACTGCCGCGTACCAAATCGGTAAAGCAAAACAAACGACAAACGCACTCAACAATTTGTTGACCAACACACACGGACCAGTACCTGCTTTTTGACTCCCACCGCCCTTTAAACCACAAACTGGGAGTCATCAGGACTCTACACCACCAGGCAGAGAAAATTCCTACCAGAACCGAGGCCAAGATGAAGGAATTCAAACACCTCAGGGGGGCCCTTTAAACTTGCGGGTATCCAGACTGGGCTTTTGTCAGAACAGAAAGAAGAGGAAAGAATGCCAAGAGTACCAGTGAGGGTGAAAAGCTTGACAAAAGGAAGAATTTGGTCATCCCATATGTAGCTGGGGTGTCTGAGAAACTCAGAAGGGTTTTTAATAAACATCATATCCCTGTCTGCTTTAAACCCAGCAATACACCGAGGCAACAACTGGTTCACCCAAAAGACCAAACACCAAAACCCAAGATGAACAACATTGTGTATGCAGTCCAGTGCAGTGAGGAGTGCTCAGAATTGTATGTTGGTGAAACAAAACAGCATCTACACCAGCGTATGGCACAGCATAGAAGAGCCAAACCCTCTGGTCAGGATTCAGCATTATACCTACACCTAAAGGTCACGCCTTTGAAGACAGTCAAGTACGCATCCTAGACAGGGAGGAGGACTGGTTTAAAAAGTTAATAACACCTCCTAACTCCAATTATGCAAATGCATTCAATACCCGGTTGTGACTAACGGATTATGTGGATTGGAGCAACATTTACCATATTTATTCCCAGACAATTTTTGTACCAGTCATTCTGAATTGAGAAAGCTAGTTGGATGACCAGTGAAACGTCTGCAGGAAAAATACAGCAAGTCCAGTTGCCTTGACTTATTTTTTTATAGATATAACTGCATTACTTAGACAAACAAGAAACACCTGTCCAGCACCGGTCTCTGACACTCAGGTCTATGCAGATGCTTGCCAGGAGCCCTTCACGCTCCACAACTGCAGGATTTGAAGAAAAAGGCCACACAGTGCTATTCACCTGCATATAGTTTTAATCCATAGAGCTCACAACCTCCAGCATGACGGTACTCACCACCCAGTGGCCACCTACCTCTAACACGTTTCACCTGTATGGGCTTAGTCATAGAACTCGATGACCGAACTCATATGGCTGAATAGCAGTGGGGTGCGGCCTTTTTCTTCAAATCCTGTAACTGCATTACTTGTTGCAGAGAAACTGTGGCGTCTATTCACAAAGCTGCCGAGGGCTGCCGAGTGAATGACCGATCTGAAGTGAGGTTGATGTTGTTATTGTTGTGTAGCCTATATACTTTTCACACTACGATAAACATGAAGAAGTTAATTGACTCTTACATTAATATGCATTTGGCCTAGACTGAATTATTTTTCCATTCGCCTGTCAAGTGTTATGTAATTAGAGAAAATAACTGTGGAAACACTGTCAGCATACCGAAAACAATGCAAAATGAGTTGCTTTGAAGACATTCTCTTTGTATAATTTTTAGCCTGGGACATACAAAATACTGCATATGAATATTTTATGTTGACCATATGCAGCAAGGAGGTGTCCTACATCAAGTTACAGCTTTGGGTTTGCCTGTAACCTGATTTACAGCTCTGCCGAGACTAGCCTGCTGATCTTGCCAGTTTGCGCTTCTCATAATGATTTCTGGCTTAGGGACGACTATCTGGCCACTATTGAATTATATCCAACCGTAGCACTGTCAGCCCTCTGTATCTTCCTCAGCTAAGGATCCATTCACGATCATGTGGCAAATTGGATGGTTCCTCCATTGTGGGCATTCCTCCATAACATTGTAGGTATCGGTAATCATAGGGGTTGGCCATGTCCAGCTCTGCCCAGTACTCTTCTAAACAATACACCCCATATTGTACTCCTTTAGTCACTCTTACATACACTCCCATACATGCTAATAAGCATAAGCAAAGAGAGAAATGCTGGGAAATGCAGTCTCAGCACTGCTGCAGAGACTACAGAGGGAGTAACATTTGAAATGTCTACTGCCTCCTCCTACAGTCTAATTCAATGCACAGCACCGCGGCCATGGAAAGTCACATGACCGCTACATTTTGCATAAAAAATGGGAATGAAAAGAAAAAAAAGGCACAGATCAGCTTGGCAGGAGGTATTGTTTACAGACATGGCTTTATACTGGTATGTGGTATTTGCCTAGAATACTACTTTAACCTTTTGTTTTACTGTATCTTTTTGTTGTCCAAAAAACATGGTGGCATTTAAAACAGAAGCACATTTCTTACCTGTTGACATGCTGCATGATATTTCCAGGCCATGCCAGCTGGACTTTTAGCTGATCTCGATGTTCAACGAAAAAGTCCACTAATGTTCTCGTAACGGTGGCCGAAGTATGGAAGAAAAACGCAGGGATCCACAATATGGCTCCGTCCAGCTTTTTTAAGTTCAAGAAAAAGTTGTTCCGGTCTTGTATGGTCAGCAGATTATTGTAATACTTCTCGAGAATACTGGGGTTAAAAGTAGTCAAGTTGGTCTTTCGGCCAACATCCTTGTGGAAAGCTTCCGTTGGGGCAAAGTTACATCGAAAGACAAAATCGGCACTGTCTATTTCGGCTCCACACTGGCTTTCTGTCAGGATGCCGCTGTTACCTATCACTGCGCAAATGTTGTAATGTCTGTTCATGATGGGTGAACTGTCCGGCAGAAGCGATCGGAAGTTATTGCTGATAGAAAAGACGTATTTATGACTGGAATAGTCGTAATGCATCAGCTGCCCAGTTCGTACACTATTCTTGGTCAAAGAAAAATTTCGCATTACGTCTACATTCTGGAGAATCTCTCGCCTAGAAAATGACACAACGAAACAAGCATATTAGTCCCAGTTGTTGTATTAGACATATTATTACAGCTATAGTTCCATAATGCTTTGTCTGCTGATCACTGTCAAATAGCAGCGTTTACCAGTTGGGAACTGGTGTGTTGAGCTTGCATTGCTCCCACTGTGGTCATTAGAGGTACACCGAAATAAAAATTTCAAAACCGAAACGCAACCAAAAAAAAAATGTCAGGCCGAAACTGAAGCCAAAAATGTTTTTTATTGTAACTTTTTCACATTTTTTATTTTTATTTTTTAAACTTTTTAATTTTAAAATAGAAAAAGAGATTGAGAACACAGAGTCCTTAGAGACAGAGTCCTCAATCTCTTTTTCTGCAGCCCCTGTTATAAATGAACAGGAATCCTCTATACTGAGTGTTCCTGTTCATTCATAACATGAGGACATTGTGTGTTTACTACAACCACAATCATGAATGAACAGGAGGTGATGTAGATCACTTCCCATTAATTCATAATTGAGGATACAGTAACCATACTCTGCCCTCAATTATGTACATACACTCAGCGACCACTTGTACCCGCTTCTCCTTCCTAACAGCTGTCACAGAAGGCTGAGCAAGCGGTGCGGGGAGGAGAGCTCAGCCTCCTGTAACAGCGCTGCAAGCTGTCTCCGAACACACTGCTCTCCTCTGATCTGTGGCAGGAGGCTGAGCGGTGTGGGAGGAGAGACGCTCTTCTTTCGCAGCGCTCGGCCGCCTGATACAGTTTCTCTCCTGCTGGGACACAGAGCAGCGCCCAGCTTGGAGGAGAGAAATCACGGATCCACCGCATTATGCCAAAAGTGCCATTTTCGGCCGATATGTTTGGGCGTCTGATATATCGGTGCATCCCTAGTGGTCATGGTTGTTGGCAACAGTGATCTTCTGCAGCTGCAGTGAAAGTTACATGTCACAACAATTCTGTAAATCCGGATATACACTATATGGCCAAAGGTTTGTACTGTAGACACCTGACCATTACACCTACATCTATATGACCAAAATCATGTGGACACTTCCATGTGTCCAGGTGTTACCGGTGAAGGGTTCTGGTAATGCTACAGCATTCAAAGACATTTTAGACAATTGTGTCTTTCCAAACCATAAGGCCCTTTTATGTTCCAGCATGACTGTTCCTCTGCGCATAAAATCAGCTCCCTAATCAATGCCTTGATGAGTCTCTTGTGGAGGAACTTGAGTTGCCTGCAGAGTCACCTGATATCAACCCTACTGAACACCTTTGGGATGAATTGGAATGCTGATTGCAAGCCAGGTCTTCTCATCCAAAATCAGTGCCAGAGCTCACACATGCTCCTCTGGCTGAATGAGCACAAATTTCCACAGGGACATTTCAAGAGAAGCCTCCTAAGAAGATTGGAGGACATTAGAGCCACAAAAGTGTGGGTGGACTCCAAATTAATGCCCATGGTTTTGAATAGGGATGTCCAACAAGCTAATATAGGTATGATGGCCAGGTGTCTACAAACACTTACAGGGCTATTCACAATAGGGTGAAGAGTTTGGAGAAGGCAGGAGAAGTGAACAATCTAGGACAACATAGCTGAACTGGAAAGTGAGCTGAATTAGAGAATGTTTACAAATCAGCGATGTTGTCCTAGATTGTTTACTTCTCCGGCCTTCTCCAAACCCTTCACCCTTTAGTGAATAACCCTGTTAATCATATAGTGTAAATGGAGTTGGATTTATAGAAAATCTTGACTTTTTCATGTTAAAGGAGAACTATGGGGTCAGTGTTTTTCCCCATAGTTCTCCTTGGGGTAACGGGAGGACACAAACTAGCGTCCTTCCGTTACCCTAAGCTCAGTATACCGCGAGCTACAGCTCGCGGTATACTGAGACGCCGCACCTGGAGCGGATCCCGACTTAGATGACGGGATCCGCCCAGCTGCGTGAGTGACAGCTGGCTCTGCCTATCTAGAGGCAGAGCCAGCTGTACCCGCCCCCTCCCCCGTCCGTTCCGCCAGTCAGCGCTGGCAGATCGGAGCGGGGAGAGGGGAATCCAGCCCCTCCCCCTGTCACGGCAGAGAGCCGTGACAGGATCGAGAGGTGAGGGAACCCTGTATGTGTTCACTCACCTCCCGATCTACTGAACCGACCTGTGACAGTCTCATTGTCACAGGTCGGCTAGAACTATGAGGTGAGTGGAAATCACTCATGTCATAGTTCTCCTTTAACATCAAGTTGGACTGCACCCCTTCTGTCCTTTGAGCTACCTTTGTAGTAGTTTTATATGGGGGCAGCCTGAATGAGCAATAGGAAGCCTCAGGACGTGAGAAGAGATGGGGCCAAGCTCTACTTTTACAGAAGTTGAGACTTGCATTTAACTTTTGCTCCATCAATCTCCTATGATTATTTTGTCTTGTGGTTTATGGTGCTCTGTGCAGCAAACTTTGTGTTGAAAAATGAGGCAGTTTAAAACACACACAAAAAAATCAAAGTGGAAATGTCTAAACAAAATACAGCTATGCAAAATTTCAGACAAAAAAGGTTTAACAGTATAAAAAGGGGAACATGTCAAATCTAGAGTGGACGATAAATTGTATGACCTCATTTTGTTACAGTTGTCTTTTACAGAGGAACTTCAGCCAAAACTTTGTATGTTTCTCTGAGATTTCCTCTAACTTTCTTGATAACGACACAAGATGTGAGGATAATTCAACTTAATAGGGTTGTAGACAACAACAAATATCTTACAGCGAGGTTCTAACCCTTTTCCATCCTATTAAAAACTTGAAAACTGTTCTATTTCACGAACAAATAGAGCCAGTGCCGGATTTACTCTCTTTGCTGCCCCAAGGCCAGGTTCCTCGATGCGCCCTGGGGGGAAGGCAGGGTTGGTTTTTAATGTTTTTTAAACTTTTTAAAATTATTTTTTATCACCTTTTACTTTTTAATTTATTTATTTTTTCACTTAAAGGAGAACTATGGGGTTAGGGCTTTCCCCCATAGTTCGCCTAAGGGTAACGGGAGGACAAAAAATAGCGTCCTCCCATCACCCAAAGCTCCGTATATTCACGAGCTACAGCTCGCGGTATACTGAGACGCCACAGCAGAGAGGTAGAGGCAGAGCCAGCTGTACCCACCCCCTCCTCCGTCCGTTCCGCCAGTCAGCGCTAGAGGATCGGACAGGGGAGGGGGGGAATCCCTGCAGGGAGCCATGAGTGACAGTCATGGCTCTCTGCAGGGACAGGATCGAGAAGTGAGCGAGCGATGGTATGTGTTCGCTCACTTCCCGATCTACTGAGCTGACCTGTTACAGTCTCATTTTCACAGGTCGGCTAGAACTATGAGGTGAGGGAAAAGCACTCACCTCATAGTTCTCCTTAGAAGGAGAACTATGGGGTTAGGGCTTTCCCCCATAGTTCGCCTAAGGGTAACGGGAGGACAAAAAATAGCGTCCTCCCATCACCCAAAGCTCCGTATATTCACGAGCTACAGCTCGCGGTATACTGAGACGCCACAGCAGAGAGGTAGAGGCAGAGCCAGCTGTACCCGCCCCCTCCCCCATCCGTTCCGCCAGTCAGCGGTGGAGCATCAGAGTGGGGAGGGGGGAATCCAGTCCCTCCCCTGTCACGGCAGAGAGCCGTGACAGGATCGAGAAGTGAGCGAACGCCGGTATGTGTTCGCTCACTTCCCGATCTACTGAGCTGACCTGTTACAGTCTCATTTTCACAGGTCGGCTAGAACTATGAGGTGAGGGAAAAGCACTCACCTCATAGTTCTCCTTTAACTCTATTGCTATCACACAAGCCTTGTGTGATTGCATTTGGAGGTGACAGGCTCTCTTTATTGAATGGACGTTCTCCACTCTACACCCCGCTCTCCATCCTGAACTACCTTGCCGGGGACCCCGAAAACTATGGCGGGGGAGAGGCAGCCAGAGGTGGGGGTGGACCATGGAGGGGGGGGTGGCAGGGGAGGACGGATGAGCAGTCTAATTACAGAGATCACAAAATGAGCTGCAGCTTCCCCGCTCTACATTTAGCCCTGCTGCTTGCCCAAAGCAGGACTAAATGTAGAAAAAAACACCCATCTGAAACCTGGAACTGCATGTCCCGGGCGTCGGGGCGATAGGAATTCCACACCCTCCGCTGCCCCTCTACTCAATGCTGCCCCGAGGCCGGGCCTTGGTGGCCTTGTGGGAAATCTGGCCCTGAATAGAGCACATGATGATGCTTTGTGTAAAGCAGTCATCTTTTTGGTACTCGTTGACATGATGACATGAGATTATTATAGTCATTGGTACAAAACCTAATCATTGAAAAATCTCTCTTACACCTTTCAATGATTATCTTTAAAAAAGGGCAGTCGGAGAACCATGACATTGGCGTTTTTAAGATAAATAAAAAATAAGAGAGGGCAGGCCAGTTTGGCCAAATTAATATTTGTTGGACTTTGGTGGCTGAGGGTCCCTGTTGTGTTCGCTGAAACCAAATACAATGATCCACAAAGAGAAAACTATATTATATGATAGCTACCACCTCCAGTAATGCTAACTAACTTACTATAGAAGCACAAACTGAAATTGGGATATCATTTTACATATGAATTTGAGAAACTAACCTCTGCCGTGCAAATGCTGTTCTGTTGAACGTCCACTTGGCTGGTTTCTCTTGAAGCTCTTGTGTCAGAGAATTAGTAATTGGAACAAATGATGGATCCAGGAATTTCATTGCAAACTGGGACCTGTCAATAGACAAAAGAAAGTTAATGTATGCATACAAAGACAAGTGGAAAACCTGACTGCGTGCATATAGTTTTATACTGATGCCAGTGTTGGAGGTCCTGAAATGCATAAAGCAGGTCCAAGGTGGCAGGCAAGGCCTGGTTTTATCTCTTTGCTGTGGAATATTCAAAGTAACAAAACAACTACAACTGTACATGGCACATAAGAGAGCCCACTTAACACTATGGCGATCCATGACCAAGGCGGCAATCGTGCACGAAACCGCACGGATGGCAGCACGGTTCACGGAATCACTCACCATCGCCGATCGCACTGGCGGTGCCATTATTTTCTAATGGCAACCCAGTTGCACCGGGCAGATTGTGTGGTTTCCTGCCACGATACCGCCAGTGCAATTGAACATGCTAAAAAAGCAGTGCGTCATGTGTTGCAAATAAAGGTACATGTACCTTTTTTAGCAGTTGCCGAGTGGATGTAACCCCATTGAAATCAAAGGGGCTGCGCAGCAACAGCTGTGTGCACTCGCACACGATCGCGCGGTCCCAGGACACGCATCCCGGGATTGCCGATGTGTGAACCAACCCTAAAGTTTTAGCTTCCTGCAGAATTAGCTGGTTCTCTGAGCCCTGGACATGATACCCTATTATAAGGTAACTCCTTCCTTTGCAGGGTCTTATGGAGCCACCCTGGTGTGTGCTAGTAAACTGTGTGTGTCTCCACAAACACACAGGTACAGCAAGGCAATCCACTCCCCTGCTCCCTGCACTCTTCTCCTCTTAGATAGCAGATGGAAAGCTGCTGTAGAATGTGCTGTTGCTTGTGAGCTTGTACTGGACAGTTCAGGGAAGCCGAGCTGAGAGAGTAGCAGCTACTTGGAACCATGATGACTGGGGAAAAAAATGTAAAGAAATGCTTTCTTGGGCAATGTATATTTCTTTGATCTGGAGTCATTGTTGAAAAAAAGTTTGAGAGTTTAATACGACTTTAAAGTAGCTATTAAACACTACTTGATACAATTATGCAAAAAATATAGCTGGTAAAAGTAGGCGGTTTTATCTTTATATTAGTTCCCTGCAGTCCCCTACATACTGTACATCAGCAGTCTGACAAAGAGGGAAGACCAGCAATGTCAGATAATCAGTGCAAAGTGCTGCCAGATGAACACAGTAACATGTTCTGACATGAGTAGAGATCACTGCAATGACATCAATAGTGTGCTTCTTCTCCTAATTTTAACAGGAATTTAAATGCAGCACATCTGAATGCTACAAAATGCACCTTTAGTCAAATTTTAGCATAAAGTTTAAAGATAAAGATGTTGACAAGGGCAGCAAGCCTTTTCAAATCCTGTTTTTTGGGGTGTTGAAAATTCTACAATTGTCAATTAGTCTGATTGCATGCCTTGGAATGGGACTGCAGCTTGTCGGCCAATATTTCGGTCCTATAGAAACCCTCTCTCTCTCTTTTCCTCAATATGTGTTGGTGGGCTGCAGTGGGCTCAGAGAGAGGGCAATGCATCATATAGCAGTGAGCACATTGACATACACAGACGTAGAAAACTGCATTAGCAGTTTATCTGTCAGTATCAGATGGTACTGAATGTTTTGCCAGTTAGTACTGGTTCATTTTAAATGCCATATGTTCATGACTAGATTGTACCTACATAAGACTATGGGCACCTATCAGGATAGCTGTTACCTTTTAAAGGCAGAGAGCAATTTATTGTTGGAGAGTGGCCTTCCCGGCTTGCAGAAGATCAACTACATCAGGGGTAGCCGGACTTTGCACTCCACCTGCAGTGAATCCACAAGTTCCATCAGGCACAGCAAGCCTCTGACAGCCGCAGGCATGACTCCTAGACACTGGCAGAACTACCAGGGTCGCAGCAGTCGCAATTGGGACCGGGCCCTGGTGTTCCGCCTGTTGGGTGGGCCCAGAGAGGAAGTAGAGGGCCCCCCCGAGTGCCGCTCCTTCCCCACCGCTCTGCCATCCGCAGCATGTACGGGCGGCTGTGCAGGGATGGAGATGCTGTCACCTGTCCAGCAGAATTTGCTGCAGGCACTGCCAGGCAGCACATTCTTCTGTGTGAGGACCCTCTCCTCTTAGTCCCGCCCCCTGACCGCCGAGACAAGGAAGAAGGTCCTGCATGAGAGTCAGGTAAGTCTGGACAGGGAAGGGGGGGGGGCACGGGGAAGGGGGGGGCTGGTGGTATTCTGCATTGCTGTTTTTTTTTATTATGCATTGCTTGGACTTGTAGTCCCGCATAGCTGGTGGCATTCTGCATTGCTGTATAATGATTATGCAGCAATGCAAAATAGCACAAGCTATGCAGGACTACAAGTCCCAGCAATACATTATATTTTTAAGTAGGGATGCACCAGTCAGTGCAAATACTGGGCATTTTCATGAGTACTTGTAAAAATGCCCCGATACTAAGCACAGATACCGGTGTTCTGTCAAGAACGCTGATGTAGTCGAATTTTGCCGACCTCAGCATCTGCGCACAGACCAGTATTATCGAGGAAACCGGGATTTATTTACAAAGTATTTAGTTCAAATCGTTAATATTCCATCCGTCATTTACTGCCATGCATCATTTCCTGCCATGGACGGCATATTATTAACGGTCACAATTATCGATTACAAACGAATGCTTTGTAAATAAATGCCGGTTTCCTTGTTAATCCCGTCTGTGCGTAAGCCCAGATACTGGGTCGACAGAACACCGGCACTAAATTATTAAACTGAAGCGGCTGCCTTGCTGGGGACCTCGGCAGCCCTCCTGTTAACCACACGGTGCCATGGCGGTGAGGGGTTGGGGGGGCCCTTCATGGTTTCTTGCACCGGGGCCCTGAAGGTTCTAGTTACGCCTCTGCTCCTCGAGGCACACCCATGATGATATGTAGCTTCACCACAGCTGGAGGGCCAGAGTTTGGCTACCCCTGAACTAGATCTTAACAAGAACACACCACTGCAGCATTACATGGCTTCCCCGGAACTGTCAGTGAGTACCTCCGAGAATCGGCAAGAGCCTTGGCTATACCATTTTTCACATGGCCTGATAGGGTCGCTTTCACTATGGATAAAAAACAATCAGATGCCTGCATTCCCCTCCACCTTCCTAATCTCACGATTTGCTATAGGTAAGGCAGAGCCTTTTCCCGACGTGAAGCCTGCTAACGTTCACACTCTTCTTTGTTCACCAAAAATATGCACTACAGCAATGAGATTACAATATGCTGCAGAATGCATGAATCATACCCAGCAATTAAGTCAACTTACATTTATAAAAGTGACGTGTTGAAATGCAGCACCGCGGCAATGTTCCCCTGCTGCACAAATGTCTGTAATTACTGTAGGTTTTGTGTAGCTGGGTGATAAGCTGATCATAATTTCACAGCAGCTGAGCAAATGTACTTGTGCTGGAATGGGCAGCAATAGAATTGTACATCAACAGCTGCTACTGCACAAATACGTATGTTACTCACAGTCACTCCAGTTGTTTGGCTTAATCTGTTGAAACTGAAGGATTTATGTCATACATGTGATTGGAAGTACGGTCGTGCTGCTGCTAAGTAGTGGCATTTAATCTAAACAAGCGCTCCAGCTGGTAAATGCCAGATTCCGCAATCAACTATTCCGACAGAATGTGTTCTTACAGACGTCTAGAAAGTGTATTACGGGCATAATATCTACAAAATGAGGAAAGGGGGTAGAACGGTGAGTGCAGTTCTAGACCGCTCTGTACGGTTTAAGCAAAACACGAGGGCCTTTTGATGGTGTATTTTTAGTCTTTTCAGAGAGGTGGTAATGAGGTATTGCTAATGTCTGTGGATAAGGGAATTAATTAAATTACAAATAAAATTGAAAACAAAGGGAAGAAAGGAATTTACTACAAACTAGACCAATATAGCCTGAATTTGACAGAACAAAACAACACAAATATACCAAAAAGATAACTAAATGGAATACTAATATTAAAGTGACACTAAACTCAGGTGCTAAATCTTAAAAACACATTCAAGCACCTTAAAAGAGAACTATGGGGTAGCCTTTTTATCCCATAGTTCTCTTTAGGGTCACAGGAGGACATATACTAACCTCCTCCCATGACCCAGAGCTCAGTATATAGTGAGCTATTGCCCGCTATATACTGAGAGCGCCGCAGCCGGGACGGATCCCGAAAGTACTGTTGGGATCCACCCAGCTGGCTGATTGACAGCAGGCCCCGTCTGTTCCTCCAGTCAGCCCTGTAGAAATAGAGAGGGGGGAATCCCTGTGGGGAGCAGTGACTGACAGTCACCGCTCTCTGCAGGGAGATGATCGGGAAGTGAGCGAGTGACAGTATGTGTTCACTCACTTCCCAATCAATAGAGCCGACGAGTGACAGTTTCAATGTCACACGTCGGCTCTAACTATGAGGATGAGTGGAAATCACTCACCTCATAGTTCTCCTTTTACTATTAAGAAAAATATATCTTATTTGTGTATCGGCTGCAGATCCTCAAATCATCTCTGAATTGGTGCTGACACTGTCCTTCCTTCTGGAGGGGGGCTAATTTTGTTCCCCATGGTCCCTGTGTGTGTTGTAAAGTAGTCACCGCTCCATGCTCCTTCCTGTGATGAACTACAATCTCAATAAAAATATGTAATCTAAACATGAGATTGTAGTTCATCACAGGAGTGAGCTTGGAGCGGTGACTACTTTACAACACACACAGTGGGGAACAAAAGTAGCCCCCCTCCAGAAGGAAGGACAGTGTCAGCACCAATTCAGAGATGATTTGAGGATCTACAGCCGAGTGATACACAAATAATATACATTTTTGTTACTAGTTAAGGTCCTTGAATGCATTTTTAAGATGTAACTCCTAAGTTTAGTGTCACTTTAATATATAATAATTTGAATCCCATGGGGTGACTTTAATAAATGATATTATAAATATTGGTAACACCTCTTTACACCAAAATTAATGAACAAAAAGTATACCTGATCAGT